TGCTGCCTGATTTGTCACAGATTTCAAAATCAGTTTATTCCTGAAATCAGTAGAGTGGCTTTAAAGTCACAATATTTGGGGGGAAAAAAGAAAAAAGGAAAAAGGGGCAGCTTTCTGTTTGTCAAGTGTTTCTTGAGAGTTCATTAGAGCCTGGGCTGCTCCCGGTACCAGCTCCTCAGGGGGATGCCCTGCAGATGTGATGCACAGGACACTGGGTGCAGGATGGGATCACGCCCCGGGGACGGGCAGCGCAGCCCGGGACAGCAGCGATGGAAACGCTCTCCCTGGGGAGATGCTGGGTGGTAAATCCCTGCTGGCGTGGTGGAGTCCGTCCCGCAGCAAAGCCCTTTCCAGGTATGAGCCAGGCCTGCTCCTGGAAAGATAACTGGCAAGGGGGATAAACCTGAAAGGGGGAGGGAGCTGCCCTCAGTGCTGCCCGCACTTGGCCCTTTTCCACGGGGTGTTTTTGCAGCTCTCCAGCACGTCACCGAGCTGGCTGGCCGCTGGCTGGCATCTCCCAGGCACAGCACAGCCCCTCATCCCTCAGCTGGAGGGAGATTCCTGAGGCCAAATCTGCTTTTTGGTAACCCGTGGCATGCTGCAAGTTCAAGCTGGCAGCGTGTTCGTGGCATCCCAAGGGGTGCAGGGAGCCACCTGCAAGAGGGACTCTTCCCACGTCCCGCTTTGCTCCGCTGCTGTCGGATGCGTTGGGGTTTAGTGTCAAATTTTAGGAGCGTCTGTCTGAAGGCGGCAGGAAAGGATTGGGGTGGGAGGGTGAAGCCAGCAATATGGCTTTGTGATGGGGGGGATTAGAGAAATATTTGAGTTTATTTAATGCCGGGCTTATTGCGGGGATTGGAAGCTTAACTCTGAACCTGGCAGCAGAGCAGCCCTCATCTCCCTCCATATCGCTAACGGCGTTTACATTTCTATACTGACATTCGTTCCTCCCCACCGGGAGTTGAAACCTCAAAACTGGAGATATCGGTCTGGTGAACCACGGCTGCCTCCGGCCTGGAGGGAGGTGGCCGGGAACCCTGAGCCGAGGGACCGGGGTGTCCCCCTGACCCGGCAGCACCCTCGGGACCCCCGTCCCTGCCCTCCAGCTGGGCTGTGTCTGGCATCGCTGCTCCAACATTGAATTAATCCGTTCGCATGAGTGTCGGCGTCTGGGAGTTGCAGAATTGGATGGCAGCACTGGGGTTTATATTTTTTTAATTTTTTTTTTCTTTTTAAAGAGCTTATATAACCTTGGGGATTCTATTAATAAAAATAATGGTTTTGAACTCTGGGAACAACCAGCCCCGGCGATGAGCAGTTAAATGCTCCAACTTCAGAGAGCGGGCAGCTCTCGGGCACGAGGAGATAAGGGGAGAAGCGCTGGGGACAGGAGTGGTGGCAGGGGCTGGGGAGAGGGCGAAGGGGATTCCCTGCCTGCAGGCAGATGGCCGGCATCTGCCTGAACCTCCTGCCCTGTGGCTCCATCCCTGTGCCCGGGGGAAGGGAGTGGGGCCGGGGGGGCCGGGTCTGGGGCTGGCCCCCATGGGTGCGGGGTGGATGGGCACCCTCGTGTCCTGCTGCGCCCATTTTTAAGCGTCCCAGCTCGCACAGTTTAACGCCGGGGCCGTATCCAGCACAAAATTGTGGGAAGAGCAGCAGGCACGGCCCAGGTCAGCGTCACCTGGACCCCCCACGACACCCTGGGTGGGACCCCGGGAGGGGGCTCGTGGTCCCCAGAGATGCTGGCTTTGGCCCCTGGGGGCTTGGGCAGGTTCAAGGAGGTAACGGTGGAACTGGGTTTAAAGAGGTGTGTTCAGTGCCACTTCGGGGGCCGTGAGCCCTGGGGGGTTCTCATGTTCCCCCCCCCCAGCAGGTAACAGAGAGGCTTTGCTTTGCTCTTGCAGTTTAGAGGGGTCTTACTATTTATTTTTTTTTCATCCCTAAGTTGCCAGCAAGGCGTTTAAAGGGTTTGATAGAAAATTAAGAGAGATTGACTCTGAGATGGTAATTAGAGAAAGCTGGGACATAACCTAAATGAGGGCACTTGGAAGCAAAAAAACCCCAGTCCTTGGGATGTGTTCAAGTGCCTGGTTGTTTCCCTTTAACAGCAAAATACTTTAAAACTCATTTTTCCTCTCAGGGTGAACTCTGCATTGGGTTTATTGTGTTTCCCCCTTTGCAATGCGGGATTATCAGCTTGTTTCATAGCAAGGTTTAACACTCCACTCACTCAGCAGTGGGCTGTGGGTTTGGGTTGTTTTGTTTGGGACTTCTTTTTTTTTTTCCCTTTAAATCTCCCCTATTCAGATTGTCACAGCTTGACAGCCTTGTGCCAGGAACACACTGTCATCCTGAAACTCATATCTTTAATTCCCTTCCTCTGATGCTAATAACACCTTAAGATGATTAAGACTGGGGAAAAAACCCTTAGTATCTTATTTTTCTGCTCTTGGTGATGCTGGTTGCTGGCTCGCGGTGCTTCATTCATTTGGGGGAGTAAATTAGCGCGGTCACCCTCCTCCTGCCTTCCCTTTGCCCATGCTGGGGTGTTTCTCCCTGGTTTTACTTTCTGGCTTTTAATTGCTGAATATCAATGCTGCCAGGCTACCCAAACGCTTTTCTTTTGCAATTTAAGATGCCACAGTGCGGCGAGCCCCCTCCCGCAGCATCCCTTGGCTGGGGGCCACCCTGCAGCGCTCCCCGCTCACACCGGTGACGTGGCCCCGGCCCCGGTTTGGGAGCAGCCCGGGCAGTGTGCCCGGGACAGCCCCGGCAGTGCCAGGAGACGCGGGCGAGGGCACGGACACGCCGTCCTGCCCGGGCTGCACAGCCCCGGCCCACACCACCGCCCAGCGCTGGGCACACAGCAGCGAGCAGCCAGGCTGCAAGCACACAGATTCCTGTCAACGTCAGGTTATTTTTTAATTTATTTTTTTTTAAAGGTGTTTTCGGTCTGGAACATGTTCAGAGCGTGTTTTAGCTTCCCCGTATCGCGGGGCACCGTTTACCCTGTGCACGATGGTGCCAGCCCAGCTGACGCTTCCCTGCCAGGCTGGTCACCGGCTGGTTTTGGCAGCAGCTCCAGCACCTTCTTGCTCATCTAAGAAAGGAAGAACTGGATAAAATGAAATACGCTTTGGAAAGCCCTGGAAATCCCTGGATGTGGAGCTTTACCTTGGTGTGTGCGAGGGCAGGACCCTGTGGATGCACCGAGCAGGTCGGCTTCCCCCTGGAGCAGGAAACAGCAGCAGATCAGGAAAAATGCCTCTTTCAGCTTGAATCCTGCTGGGTGCTGGGTTGGTGGGTCCCATGGTCTGACAAGCGGCTTGAGTGTGATGGGATGTTGCTTTTGGTTTTTAGGTCACGTTTGGATAGCGAACTGAGAGAACGGGGGAACTGCATTGTTTGCAGGGCCCCGTGCGGTGTCAGACCTTTGGTTTGGGTTTCCACGTGCAGCCGTGCCTCAGTTTCCCCAGCGGGCAAATAAATGGCCCCTTCCCTCACTGCTGTCAAGCTGAGCTGGCTGCTGGAAGCCTTTTGGAGGTGTAGTGGGATTTGGTGACCCAGGACAGGTCACTTGGGCTCCCCGATGCCAGTGATGTCTCTGTGTCGGTGCAGCGCGTGGCACAGCGGGGTCCCAGCCGTCCTCGCTGCCCTGTGCCACCCAGGGGGTTCAGGATATGAGTTCTGAGGCTTTGGCAGCGCGGGCAGAGGGAGCTCCTTAGCCCTTCCACTGCTCTCGAACGGGGAAGAGAAGTGGCTAGAGGAAGGTAGGCAGGGGCAGGAGGAGAGCAGAGTTGCTGGCCCCTGACCGGTGCAGCCTGTGGGTTTGGTGTCCCCTGTGCTCCCGGCATCCCCCTGCTCCCAGTGTCGCTGTGGTCCTCACTGGCTGGATGGTTGCACTCAGAGTTGTGGTCAATGTCTTGATGTCCAAGTGGAGAGCTGTGATGAGTGCTGTTCCTCGGGGGTTGGGGTTGGCACCGGTGCTGTTTCACAGCTTTGTTGGTGACACGGACAGTGGGATCGAGCACCCTCAGCACGTTTGCTGACACCACCGAGCTGTGCGGTGTGGTCACCCGCTGGAGGGAAGGGATGTCATCCGGAGGGGCTGGACAGGCTTGGAGGTGGGATGTGCCAACCTCATGGAGTTCAGCAAGGCCAAGGGCAAGGTCCTGCCCATGGGTCGGGGCAATCCCCAGCACAGACACAGGCTGGGTGCTGAGTGGACTGAGAGCAGCCCCAAGGAGAAGGACCTGGGGGTGTTGGTGGGTGGAAAACTGCCTGTGAGGCAGCACCGTGCGCTGGCAGCCCAGAAAGCCAGCGGTGTGCTGGGCTGCACCCAGAGCAGGGTGGGCAGCAGGGCCAGGGGGGGATTCTCCCCCTCTGCTCCGCTCTCGGGAGACCCCCCTGCAGGGCTGGGTCCAGCTCTGGGGCACCAATAGCAGAAGGACACGGACCTGCTGGAGCGGGGCCAGAGGAGGCCACGGAGATGCTGGAGGGGCTGGAGCCCCCCCTGTGAGGACAGGCTGAGAGAGTTGGGGGGTTCGGCTGGAGAAGAGAAGCTCCGGGGAGACCTTAGAGCGGCCTCCCAGGGCTGAAAGGGGCTGCAGGAACGGGGGGAGGGACTCAGGGGTGCAGGGACAGGGTGAGGGGTAACAGATTTAAACTGACAGAGGGGAGATTTAGATTAGACACAAGGCAGAAATTCTTCCCTGTGAGGGGGGTGAGGCCCTGGCCCAGGTTGCCCAGAGAAGCTGTGGCTGCCCCCTCCCTGGAAGGGTTCAAGGCCAGGTTGGACGGGGCTTTGGGCAACCTGGGCTAGTGGAACGTGGCCCTGCCCGGGGCAGGGGGGTGGAACTGGATGATCTTTAAGGTCCCTTCCAACCCAAACCTGTCTGTGGTTCCATGACTCTGTTCCCAGCACCCCCATGCTCCCAGTGCCCCAGACCTGCAGACCCTCACTGATGCCTCTTCACCTTTTTCTCCTCCCCATCCCGCAGGAAGAGCGGCCAAGCTGGAGACGATGACGGTCGAGAGCGCTGAAACCAACGGACCCATGCGGGAGCTGGAGGCCGGGGGGACGAAGCCACAAGTGCCCCCCGCCCCGCCCCGGCGCCGGGGCCGCAGGCTGCGGCACAAGTCACCGCCGGAGGTCCCCGTGAAGGGGCAGCTCCGCATGCGCTCGCCGTCAGGAGCCTTCGTCATGGTGGGCATCTCGGTGGTCCTGGTGGGCATGACCATTGCTGTGGTGGGCTACTGGCCCCACCGGGGACCCGCGGGCACTGGGGCCAGCATGGGGAATGCCAGCACTGCGGGGGACATGAGGAGGGAGGTGGCTGCCGGGCGCCACGTGCCCCACAGCGAGAAGCTCAAGCTGATCGGCCCCGTCATCATGGGCATCGGGCTCTTCATCTTCATCTGTGCCAACACCATGCTGTACGAGAACAGGGACATGGAGACCCGCAGGCTGATGCAGAAGGGGCTCTACTGCATGGCGGGGGGTCTCCCCGAGGGCTCTGGCCCCGAGGTCGGGCACTGCCAGCACGGGGACGGCCAGCCCGTCCCCAAGGCCAATGCCGAGTGTGTGGAGGGCTGCTACCAGGTGGATCTTTCCTGCCAGCCCTGTCCCGGCCCCGGCAGCAAGTGGTCTGACTGCTACGGCCCCAACAGGCTCCAGACCACGGCCGAGTTCCTCCAGCACCCAGCAGCATCCCCCGCCGCCTCCCTCCTCAGCCTCCGCTCCGGCACCTCTGCCGAGGCCAACCTCAGCCTCTCCTGCCACGCCGGAGCCGAGTCCCTCCTCTCCTCGGCCGTTGGCGCCTTGGCGTTGCCCATCATCAAGCTCAACAACCGCTTGCTGGATGCGGCAGCGCGGGGGGCTGGTGGGAGGGTGGAGGGGGGCCCCACTGAGCCCCCCCGTGAGACACCACAGCTCCCCCAGGCTCCACTCTCCGGAGGCAGCAGCATCACACCCCGTGGCCAGGACTGTGGTGGTGGTGGTGGCCACATCATCATCAACGTGGATGGCAGCTGTCCCCGTGCGGAGCCGGCGGTGGCAGAGCTCAGCCCCGATGTGCAGCTCCACACGCCGGGACATTCCAAGTCCCTGGACCTCGGCCAGCCGGGGGTGCTGCTGGTGGCCCCCATCAAGGACCGTAAGAACCGGAGCTGGCCCCGGCTGGACCACATCAGCCTGGTGGGTTACGCCAAACTGGAAAGTACTGGCGAGTCCTCGGACCGGCTGCTGGAGCCCAGCGAGCCCCCGAGCCGGGGCGAGCCCCGACCCAGCTCCTGGGTGGTGGGGGTGGAGCAGGGCACACAGGTCTGACATCCCCAACGCCCTTGGGGACCGTGATGTCACCATCCCTCATCCTGGCCCCCAGCACCCACCAGCGACCCCTAAACCCCACGTCCAGGAGGGGTTCAGTGATGGCGTTTTTAAGCAGATGCCAAGAAGGAGGTCTCAACCCACTGCTCCTGGGGGAGGACTGGCCTGGGGTGGGATGTCCTCTCCTGGCTGCCTCTCGACAGCTTCCTGGTGGATGCCCTTGGCCTTACAAGCCCTTCTCCTGGTGGCTTTTCCAGAGGAACCCTCACTTTGAGACCCACCACAAACTGTGGGATGGGGACGTGGGGATGGGTGAAGCCCCACCAGTCCTCACAGCACTTTATTTCAGCGGGGTTGGGTTGGGGGGATGTTTTGGGGGAGTGGGGTCCCCTTGACCAGCCTCCACCCACCAGAACACTTGCTTGACCAGAGCAAAGCCCAACGGGGCTATTAAATACTATCTCGATGCCATGTGGTCCCACCTTGCCTCGTCGTCTTCCCTGCGAGATGCTCGGGATGGGCAGCGCCCCCGTGGCAGCCGGGCCCGGAGGGTCTCCGAGCCCTTGCTGCCCCCACCCAGGCTCAGCTGGAGAGAGTAAGGAGGCTCTATTCTGCTGAATTTTTGCAGGGTCAGGTGATAAGCTGAAGGTTTTGGGATTGTTTTTCGCAGAGTCGGGATGCAGAAGGTGCCCGGGGGAGCTGCAGGCGATGAGCAGGGTGCTGCTGCCCACCCTCCTGCTCTCCAGGCAGCCGCAGAATTAAACTGGAGTTGCTGGGGTGTAACGGTTCCCAAAACCTGTCTGTGGATTGGGGTTTATTTGTGCTGTTTTCTGCTGGGGTGAAGCAGGAGGAGGGATGTGATGGGGCAGAGCGGTAAGGGTGAGTGCTGATGCTGGTTTTGTTGGGCCCTGTTGGGTGCTGTCGCGTTATTTGGTGTCTTTTGGATGGAGAACAGGAGTGGCACGGGACAAGGCCAGAGAGATGGCTTTGGCACAGGGGAGGCGAGATCCCCAGAGAGCCGGTAGTGCAGAAACAAAACCCTGGGGGGAAAAAAAAGGGGCATAGCAGAAAAATACAGTAGGAAAATGTGGATAAAATGAAAAATGAGAAACAGGATTCGCTGTGTGGGGTAAGGATGTGCTGCGGGATGCAGCTTGTGTCCCATCTCCAGAGGCAGCTCCAGGCTCAGCAGCTCAGAGAAGGGCAACGTCGGCTGCCCAGTTTTCTTGCAAATGATCAATTTTTGCTCTAGCATTTCTTTCCCGGTCCTTTCCCAGGGCCTTTGCCATGTTGGTCCCCAGGGAAGGCGTGGGCTGGTCACTGCTTTGGTGCTCAGCCCCGATTCCTGTTGATTCCCCCAGCACGTGGCTGCGATGTCCCTCCAGTGTCCCCCCAGGAGGGCTCACGGGGCCAGGGGGTGAGGAGGTGTCAGGTCCCACTTGGCCGTGGCACAGCCACGAGGCAGCGATGGCGGGGCTTGGTTAAAGTAAATAGGAACTGGAGGAATATCCTTCACCTTTGTATTTTTAAGGCAGGGGCTGGAGTGTCTCAGCTGCGCCACCAGCTCATGTGAACACAGGGACCAGGGTGTCATCCCATGACCCTGGGAGATGCCACACCAGGGTTCCTGGTCATTCTTCCCAAAAAAACCCCTTTTTTTAACACCGAGTCCATCTCTGGCTCTGGTGGAGGCCCAGGGGTGGTTGGGCACCCACTGCTGGCGGGCGCTGAGCCTCGGGCAGCTGCTGAGGGCACGGAGGGGGCAGCATCCCTGCAGCCCCTCTGTGGCAGGGTACCCCTTGGGCAGATGGCTGAATCTTTCCAAACCATCTTTTTGGTCTTTGCCTGTTTCTTTTCCCCCATCTGTGGGGAGATGTCACCTACCAAAAAGCAGAGAAGGATTTTTTTTTTTGCAGCAGCAGCTTTGCCATGTCGAAGCATCCGGCACCAACTTCTTCCCAGACACCCGAGGCCCACCCCTGATCCTGCCCTCCGCATCAATCCAGGAGTCAGTGGTGCCCCTCATGCTCTGATCCCTGCCCTGATCCTGGTCTCCAGCCAGAAACACCCCATCCACCCACAGCAGCTGTGTCTGCTGGTGCTGGGGGCTCTGCCCCAGCTCTCGGGCAGGAGGAGCCCTGGGATGCCGGAGGGGGTCAGAGGATGGATCAAGTGAAGGGACGAGGACAGCTTTGCTTTCCAGAGACTTGGGACGCTTCAAAATGTGACGTTGCAGCTTAGATGGATCTCTGCCTTTCCAAGACCAGAGCCCACCGTGGTGCCTGGAAATGGCTGAAACATGTTTTATCTGTATGAAATGTTTTGGGTTTTTTTTATTCCTGTCTCTGCTTCTCCCTCTCTCCCATCTGAAGTGAGCACAGAGCCTCAGACCTTGCAAACCTCAGGGACAACATCCTTCTCCAGAGCAAAACACCTCTGCAGAATGGCTTAGAAACTGCCTTTTCTGGCAAAAATATATTCCCAGCATAAGTTTCTAGCAGCTTGGAGACTGATGTCCCCCTGGCCTGGAACCATCCCCAGCTGGGGGGTTTGTCACCCATTTTTGTCACTCCATGGGGCTGGGGACAAGGGCAGGGGCTGTGGGAGCCAGGCAGGGTTGTGCTGATGATGCTGTTGCCGTTCACTCAGCTTTTGGCACCTTCCACGTCTCCCCACATTACCACCGGGGCTGGGAAATGGCAGATTAAACCCTGCAAGAAACAAAACTGCTCCATGCTCATTTTAGAAAAGCCAAGGTTTCCATAACTATATTTTTTTTTTCTCCTTTGGAAAACTCAGCATGTTTTGTTTCAATTTTTATTTTTACTTTTTCATTTTAATTTCTATTTTCCCTTTCAAACAGGAGCTTTGTGTCCTATTGGCCTGGAGCAGATCTGGCCCCATCTCCACCTTTCCCCCTGCTCCTCCACCTGCTGCCAACCTGCCCCATGCCAGAACCCCCCTTCTCTGGCGCTGCTGAACCCCTCTTTTCCCAACTAAGCTCCCCCCACACCCCTGCAGTAGTTTTTTAACTCCTTTACAAGAAAAAGCCGTCTCTCTTCCTGATGCAAACTCTCCCAAAGAGGTTGGGTACCAGCATCCCCCTTTGCAGGGAGGCAGAGCTGGGGCTGACGCCTGCGGTTTGGGAGTCGGTAGCATCCCCGAGGTTTTGCTGGGAGTGATACCAGCCCGCAGCTCAGCTATTTATTTGGCTACTTAATCTCAAAATTATTTAGGCACTGGTTCAATGCAATAAACAGCAACAACAAAAAGTCACCAGCGGGGTCTGCCCTGAAGCAGCATCCCAGGGGACGTGCCAGGAGGTTGTTTTTAGCTGAAAATAACTTTTCATTTGGGCCTAACCAGCTGCAGCCAGAGCTAAGGCCAGGCCCTGGGCCACGCTTCGGAAACCAGCAGCAAGAAATTGGAGCCCAAAATGCTGCCAGGAGCTGCTTCAGGGCTGGGGGCTTTTGTTTTAATTTTTGGCCTTTGTTTTCTGTCTGGGGCTCAGCCCAGCCTCAGGAAGTGGCTCCAACCCAACATGGCAAATGATGGGGGACAAGAGGGGAACCCGCCTGCAACATCTCCTGCCGGGACCGTGCATGCCCACCAGCATCCTTCTCCTGCCCCAGCACCTGCCCCAGCATCCTTCTCCTGCCCAATTTGGCAGCATCCTCCAGGGAGACATTTCTGAGCCACGTAGGGATCGTTTCAAAATGCAAAGCTGCTTTATTAATTAATCCAGTGGGGTGAGAAGGCCCACGCTCTCTCTCTGGGGAGAGCGTTATCGGCACATCCCTTACCTGCAGCTCTGCTTGCAGATACGGTTTCAAGAGCATTTGTGGGATTTTAACAGCGCTGATTTCAATGGGTGGATGTAGATTAAATGGCCAGCTTTATCACCCACCAGTGTATCCCCACCCCAGGAGGGGCCTGCTGCAGGATTCCTACTAAGAGAAGGAGGATTTCACCAAAAACACCAGCAAAAGAAAATAGTGGGGTTGTCCCCAATGCTGACACGTCCAGGCTGACCACTGGTGTCCCTTGGGCCACTGCAGCAGAGGATGGAGGACGGAGAGGCCCCACTCATTGCAATTATCCCCACACCACTGAGGGACCTTTGGGCTGGTGCACGGCTATGGGACAGCTGTAGTTTGGGCCAAAATTGGACAAAATGTGGGAAATGGGTTGGGGGGAACTGCTGCTGTAGGCTGTGTGTGGGAGAGATGCCCTGGGGAGGGTGCAGACCCCACCAATAGCTGTAAGAGGGTCTCATGTGCCCAGGGCCACCCCAGACAGTGCCAGTGGGACTCAAGGTTCGCTGCTGGGACACCCCCATCCCCAGGGGAGGGAGTGTGGGGGGGTAATAACAGCCTTTCAACCACCTCTTTAACAGGGCACCTACATGGGGCTGGAGCCAAGGGCTGTGCAGCTCAAATGGGGCAGGGCTGGAGCTGATCCAAAAACATCCCCCAAAGAGGTAAAAAGGGGGGGACAGGGAAGGGCCAGAGCAGCCGCACCAAAAAGCAGCAGATCCCAATTGCAAAGGATCCAGACCCAACCCCCCCACACACCCCTACGGCCACACTCAGCCAGAGCAGCCACAGCTGGGGGTCGATCGCCCCCACCCCACACCTGATGCTGCTCAGCCCAGCGGATCCCACCAAGCTGCCAGCCCTCGGGCTGGTTTGCAGCCTTTGCAGCCCTTCCTCCCCCTCCTCCTCCTCCTCTTCCCCCTGCAGTGAGGGAGGCCACAGCCATGACTCTGCTTGGCTGGTAAATCCTTCCTTAAGATTTAAAGTCTCTGCGAAGGAAATCGCTCTGCGAGCGGCCGCGCACTTGTAGTGCAGCCAGGGAATGTAAATGTTGGTGCATTATTTAGGGCGAGTGCTCTCTGCTATAAATCTCCTTCCTGAAGTGCTGGGATGATGAAGTGTCGGGGCTTTCCGTGCCGGGGCTGAGGCCGATGTGACCTGTGAGAAGCGATAGTGTGGGGCTTTGCACATTATCTCTAGAGATGGGGACCCTGGAGCAGGGCTGATGGGGTGTGGATGTGCTCCCCGGTGCTATAAAGTCTTGTGACCTCTTGGTGTGGTACATAGGGTGCTG